TGCCATCATTTTACCTTCTTTGTTGCTCATTTCTTTATTTAGAGTTATGTTTCCAAATACTAGTCCATCTCCTTTTTGAAGAGCTTCCTTTTGATATGTCTTCTTGTACAGGTTGACTGACAGTGAACGACTCAGTATTTTTCTGAAAAAAGTCTTTATTTCACCCTCATTTGTGAAGGATATTTCTCCTGAATATACATTTCTTACTTTGTGGTTTCTTCCCTTTCAGTCTTTAAAATGTTAATCTATATCTTCCAGTTTGATAATTTCTGATAAAAAGTTTGCTGTATTTTTCACCTTTGTTGTTCTGTATGAAATAATGTCTTTTTTCCTTTTAACTACCTTCAGTAATTTCCTTGTATCTTTCATTTTCAGTCATTTCACCATGATGTATCTGGTATAAATTATTTTTGTTTTACTACGTTTCTTTTGAGGGGGAGCTTTATCTTGTTGAATTCTCTGAGCATCTAGATTTGTGGTTTGATATATTTCATTATTTTTAGAAAAATTTTAAGCCACTTCCAAGTATTTTTTATTCCATTCTGTTACTTCTGGGACTCCAGTTACTGTTTGAGATTAAACCATTTGAAATTGTGTTTTGTAGCTGTTAGACGGTACCTCATTTTTTTCCTCCTCCCTTTCCCCACTCTTTCATCTCTTGTGTTTTAGTTTGAGTCATTTCTGTTGGTCCATATTTAAATTCACTGATTCTTAGCTTAACTCTCCATTAAAGAAATTCTTTGTCTCTGATTTTTTTTTTGTTTATTTTGTTGTTTCAATTTCTAGCATTTCCACTTGAATTTTTCTTGGAGTTTACATTCCTCTGCTAAAATTCCCCATTCCTTGAAATCTTTGCATTTCAGGTTACTTTGTTGCCTTGTAACCTCACCTCACAGATGGGCTAAAGAAAAGTTGTGATTTTGTATTTTATATTTTTCCTCATTGTTAGGAGGAGAGTTGAACTTTCTTTACAGCTTCCTTATATCATATCTTATTACAAAAATTTAAATCTAATGATAATTATTTTAGTAATCATAGGTTTTAAATTTGATAAAATCAATCATGAATTAAGGAAAAAAATTGGAGGTATTACAGACTTGAGGTTTACTTTTTTTTCTAACATGGGCTGTAAGTGTCTAATAATAATATAAGTGTCTAATAAGCACCCATGTGGGACATGTCCCCAAAATGAGAAGTCACTAAAGGAGAGTAATTTCTACACTCAGGTGTGCTGGAATTAAAAAAAGCTTGAGGTACTAGATTATTTATGGTTCTTTATTCCTTGCTTGTCACCAACATTTGAACAATTTTGCAGATATACTAAACATACTATTCATGCTTTCAAACCTATCACATTGTTATCTGTTCATCAGCCTGCGTTAGAAGTCTGAGGCAGGCCAGACCTCATATGTCTCTTAACTGCCTTATCCAGGCCATCAGCACATGGTAAATATTTCTCAAACTCTTCTAACCTAAGGCCTGTGCCTAAATCCAGGGCTTCATTTTACTTTACTCTGACAGTCTCTCAACTCTTTTCAAACTCAACTTTCCCATATCAACCAGGGTAATCAATCTTTAAAAAGGTGAATTTTATTGAATCATTTCCTTATTTAATGTCTCATTGACTCCTTTTGATTTCAACCTTCATGATAAAGTCCACGTCTTTGGAATTTATAAACAATATCTCTCATTTCACCCAAGAGCTACTCAGACTTCTATAACTAAATCCTCATCTTTGTGTTTCTCATCTTTGTCTCTCCATTTTTCTTAGCTTTAGCCGAATCAGAGGCCAAAGTTCTTAAAATTTCATTTTCCATTATGCATAATTCTATGTTTGATAGTTATGTCTTAGAGCAGTTGTTTTTCATTTTTGGCTGTGGGTGAATGGGAAACTTTATTTCTGACACCCAGTTAAATCAGAATTTCAGGGGTTGGTGTTTCTTTTAGTTTCTCTTAAGTGACTCAAACACCATACAGCTGAGGATGAGAATTATTAGCTTAATGTAAACCTTTCCCCTCATTCCATTTTCAATGTTTATCATTTGATTAAATCCTGTTTATTTATTTTTTTTTAATTCAGCCATTGCAATGAATTCTCTTGGGATCTTTTTGACATTCATCCCCCTTGTTCAGAGTTATGTACCGAACAGTGTCAGCTGCATATTGTGTTCTGAAGAACCTGAGATAACGGAACAGATGCCATTGAAGTGTCTTTAATTAAACACACAAAGTGTTAATTGTTGATAATATATGAAAGTATTGCAACTGTAATTTTCAGTGAGGCACAACACAGGGCCCCCTGGACATGTATGAAAATCTTGTAGACCTGGAGTCAGCAGGCTTTTTCTGTAAAGGGCCAATGCTCAGTACACTCAACATGGAGTAACTGCAGTGAGTGTTTTTGGTTTTGTGGGCTGTGTGGTTTCTATCATAATCACTCAGCTGTAAAAATGGAGCATGAAAGTAGCTATAGATGAACAAATATGATTGTTCCTATTAAATTTTATGGACACTGAAATTTGAGCCCATATAATTTTTACATGTCATGAAATACTGTTTTGCTGTTTTTCAGCCATTTCAAAATGTTAAGACCATTCTGAGCTCACAGACTGTACAGAAACAGGTGGTAGGCCAGATAAAGTTCATCGGCCCTACTCTGCTGACCATTAAAATAGAAAACTTTTTCAAATTATAAATGTATTGTCTCCCTGAATATTGAATAAGCCGCCATGTGGGACATGTCCTCAAAATGAGAAGTCATTAAAGGAGAGTGATTTCCAAACTTCAGGTGTGCTGGAATTAAAAAAAGCTTGAGATAACAGATAATTTAAACATATAATGGGAACCGTTTTTATGAAGAAAATGGAAAATTGTGAACAGTCTCAAAATACAGTCTTATTGATACGATATTTTTTAGCTTCAAGATTATAGAGTTGAGTACTATCATGTTTTTAGTGTCTAATTACTAATGATATTAATAGGAAGGTAATGTAATTCTATAGAAGATTAAAAATATATGTAGTTGTCTAATAAGATAGGTTTTGTTTTTATGACTCATAATTTTTAAATAAATACCTCTTATGTAACTTTAGCCGAGAGGAGTGATTTCCATCTCAGTTGCATGTCATGGTTATTTGGTAGAATTGGTAAATACAGATTTTTAGTCCCCACCTCCAGAGATTGTTTTAGTTGCTCTCAATTGTTGTGAGCAAGCTGGTGGAGAACCATTGACCTAGCAGAGCGTCTTTTCCTTTGATGAATTCTGGAGTGAAAAACTATTTTTAAAGACAGTCTATTTGCAATATAAAGTTTTAAAAAATCAGGCAAGATTGCTAAAAATAAACAGTAAAGAATGTATGAAAAGAAACATTCATTTCCTATATTTAAGATAGCCATTGTAAGTCTTCTAGTTATGTATTTTCCATACATGTAACAAATAACTTTTTTTTAAAAATTTATGCATATAAGAGCTGGGGTACAGACCATAGGTGTGGGGGGTGAGAGGATTCACCAGAGACAGAGTGGGGAACAGAACAGGCAGACTGACTGAAATACACCGCTGAGGGGAGCAGCAGGCGAGACAGGAGAGGTCTGCCTTGCCATGTGGGTTTCTCCTTGGCCAGCCGGGGATCGAACTCGTGCTGCAGAGGCTGTGGATTGCTTCATAGTGTGGTGCTTAACCCCTTGCGCCACCAGGGAGGCCCTAACAAATAACTCTTAAACAGATGAAATCATATGATATGTACCTTCTTTGACTTGTTTTTACTTAGTTAATATTATCTAGATACGTAGAGAAATCCACTTCTCATAAATAATTTTGTCTAAAGATTACAAACAAAAACAAAGATAATTTTTGAGTGACTTGGCAACCAGAACTGATGAGATACAGATTGGGAGCAGTATTATTTCTGGTATTGTTTGGAGAATGGAATCATAGCACAGCCCTTCTGCCTCTTATCTCACTTTAAAGTAAACAAGCACACTACAATAATCCAGGCAAAACTAATTTAAAATGAAGCTTATGGGCAGCCTTGAATAGGGAAGAATTTTGAAAGTGTTTTATAAAATTGCCCAGGAAGAAGGGGTGTCTCTTGCCAGTGAAGCTGGGTGATTGTACGGATGGTATGCTTCAGTGTTTGTTTTTTTCACATTATATTTTTGAAATTTTGTACTTTGTTTAGCAAGAGCAAAGTCTCCCTTTGGCTTCCGCCTTTTATTGTTGCTCAGTTGTTAGATGCTTCTATTAGATAGGATGTTAGTGGGCCTCTAGGTATTCACATAGCTGTACAGCCCAGTCAGCTTAAGTAAAAAGGTGGTGCTGTTCGACTTCTGTCCTCATTAGTAGCCTGTTTTTCATCTAGGGCTCTTGAGCATCTGTTCTTGCTTTAACTGTTCCCACAGTTCTCTTCACCTGAACCTAAGCCAGTAGGTTTTCTGTGTTTGCCAGTAATGAGTAGGATCTTGTGCGGATCTGTTTACCCAAAGTAGACCAAGATCATCTGACGCCACATTCACTGACAGGGATACTGATCTATTAGGTAGTCCTAAATAATAAGGATAACATGAAACCTAAAGTAATTGTAGATATTCTAATCAGAATTCAGTATTTTTTTCCATGAGAAGTAGTATAACATTTTTAAAACACAAACACATAAGTTTGAGTTTGGGTAGTTGTTTTTGCTTAGTCTACCTAAATGATAATTGTAGAGTGGTCATTAAAAGACCATTTGAGATTCTATTTTAATTATATATATTTTTAAAATATCTTGGAGCTTTATAACATTAAATTTCCAATTTACTTTTCCTATTTATAAGTCATGCAAGTCAGTAGTGATGATAGTTGTTGAAATTTACTTAGTATTGCTATGTGTTAGGTACTGAGTTTGATATTTTTATATCATACCATTTAAACTTCCCTCAAAGCGTGAACGGTCACTGTTAAACTGAATTTTCTGGGATGTGCTTCAACAGAATTATTAACACTTTGCTTTTCTTTTCAGAGATGTGGTACTGGATCTTTCTCTGGGCTCTCTTCTCCTCTCTGTTTGTCCATGGTGCTGCAGGAGTGTTGATGTTTGTGATGCTGCAGAGACATAGGCAGGGAAGAGTAATCTCTGTGATTGCAGTCAGCATCGGATTTCTGGCTTCTATCACTGGAGCAATGATTACTAGTAAGTTGATTTTGATTTTGTTCAAGGACTTAATTTTATATACACTTATGGTTTGGGTAGCTTTATTTTTATAACTATTTTGTAGAGTATTTTTCAGAGAAATCATATTTCACCTGTGTTAATTGGGAAAAAAAAATCTCAGGGATACTTTGACAAAGGATGTATTAGATAAAGTATGGATTCAAACGGGGAAGCATCCCAAACCTTGCTCTGTGATAGCTGTTTGACCATATCCAAATCTAGCTTATTAGCCAGAAGTAGTTATCGGCACCAAAAATGTAACAATTTTTGAAAGGAGCGGCTTCCACCTCTAAATTGTCCTGAACCAAAGATATGCTAATGCTCGAGGAAGGCAAGAAGGATCCAATCTTCACCCCTTGGAAGATTTGTGAAAGCTAGGAGCCCATTGTTAGATATTTTTGTGTTTTTTTCTGAGCAGACTAACTTACAACTTCAGGCAAAGTAAATTTTTATAAGAATAAAAGATGAAAACTGGGGCCTCCCTGGTGTTGCAAGGGTTAAGACGCAACTTATGAAGCAATCCGCAGCTACTGCAGCATGAGTTCAGGCCAGGGAGCTACCCACATGGTGCAGCAGACCTCTCCTGACTTGCCCGCTGCTCTCCTCAGCAGTGTACTTCAGTTATCTGCCTGTTTTGTTCCCCACTGTCTCTGGTGAATCCTCTCACCCCCCACACCTCTGGCCTGTACTCCACCCAGCACTTGTATGCATAAATAAATAAATCTTAAAAAAAAAAAAAGATGAAAACTGATGATGGCTTATTAGTTTGCTCACCACACTAGAGCTGGGTTCCCAGAAAATTTTACCCATGTTTATATTCCCCCCCTTTTTGGTCAGAATTAATCTTTGTTATATTCTTGAATAATATATTTTCTGTCAAAAGTCAAAGTCACTCTTAAAATCTACCTCTACTCACCTAAAGAGGTTTGTCAGTTCATTGTTTACCTTCTTAACTATTATGACTAGTAGCCTTTAACCCTTTGTTGCCCGCTTGGCTCCATAGAGTCTGCATAGAAACACTCTGGCTTACATTCTAGTTCTTGTTTCTTGTATGTATAAATAAATAAATCTTTTTCTTAAAAAAAGAAACATTTATTGGGAGATTTTAATTTAATCTTCCAATTGTTAGAGCATGACTGAGGGGCAACCAGGGACCCCAATTTGTTAAAGGCTGTTTGTTCTAAAGGGATCTGGATATCCCTGAGCACAAAGACAAAGAAAGCATGCTTTTTTTTTTGGCTTAGAAGAACTGGGGTATAGGCAGAGGTGTGTGGGGGTGGAGGGGCATGAGGATTCACCAGAGACAGAGTGGGGAGAAGAGCAGGCGGATCTACTGAAATACACTGCTGAGGGGAGCAGTGGGTGAGACGAGAGAGGTCTGTGCTATATGTGTGTTAACTCCCTGGCTGAGGATGGAACTCAGGCCACAGCAGTGATAGTGCTGAGACTTAACCCTTATGCCACTACGGAGGCCCAGAAAGCATACTCTTTTTTTTTTTTTAATTCTTTCTTTTTTTTTTTTTTTTTTTAAAGATTTATCTATTCATACAAGCACTGGGTACAGTCAGAAGTGCAGGAGGGTGAGAGAATTCACCAGAGCCAGAGCGGGGAACAGAACAGGCAGACTGACGAAGTACGCTGCTGAGGGGAGCAGTGGGCGGCAGGAGAGGTCTGCGCGCCATGTGGAACCCTCGCCTGGTGGCCAGGGATCGAACCGGCGCTGCAGAGGCTGCAGGTAGCTTTGCAACCCAGCACTCAACCGCTGCGCCACCGGGGAGGCCCAGAAAGCATACTCTTAATGTGATAGATCTATAATAGAATTGATGTGCTTAAGAGATGAAAGGATATTTCTAACAAAACTCTGAAAATTACACATCCCCATGTACACAAATGCCTAGCCAAACACAGTTGGCTTGTAGAAGGCCTGCTGAGGCCTGAAAGCCTGCCACAAGTTCTTAGATGACCACCTTGCTGGTGGGGAACAGCAAGAAAGAAGGCAGGTCTAGGACAGAAGGAAAAATACAAACATACAAATCAAAATAACAGCTGCCATTGTGTCTGCCTCCCCACATGTCTCTTACTTATGTCTCGCTCTTTTTTTTTTTTTTTAAGATTTATTTATTTATGCATATAAGACCTGGGGTGCAAGCCAGAGGTACGGAGGTGAGAGGATTCACCAGAGACAGAGTGGGGAACAAAACAGGCAGATTGACTGAAATATACTGCTGAGGGGAGCAGTGGGTGAGACAGGAGAGGTCTGCTCTGCCATGTGGGTTAGCTCCCTGGCTGGGCATTGAACTCATGCTGCCATGGCTGTGGATAGCTTCATAGTGCTGCATCTATGCGCCACCAGAGAGACCCTTACCTATTTGTCTCTTCCAAGTCTCCTACATGTCTCTCCTCCTATGTCTCTTCCAAAGCTCCTTTTCAGCAATACCAGGGTATAAGGTTGCAGAAGCAAAAGCCTCTGAGCCTGCATTATTTTTATATATACGCACACCCCACATACACACACATACATACACACACACACGCATAAAGCATAGTTTTATATATACTTTCTGGGCCTCCCTGGTGGCTTAGGGGTTAAGTCTCAGTGCTATTGCTACTGTGGCCTGAGTTCCATCCCCGGCCATGGAGTTAACCCACATATGGCACAGAGACCTCTCCTGTCTCACGCAATGCTCTCCTCAGCAGTGTATTTGGATTTAAGTGGAGCTACTTAACTCCACTTCCAGTTCCCAGTAGCTCCTCCAATCAAGAAGTGTGGTTCATGGCTTACAGGGCCTTGTAGTCCAAGGTGGCTGCATGTAAATCGGGGAGAGGAAAATAGCACTTCCCAATACTTTTATTCATTGTGCCTTTGTTAGATGGTTCAGAGTGCAATTAAACAGTTGTGTTTAATTTCTGGCAAGCAAAAAATCAAAGTCAGTTATAAGGAAATGAGAAGAACAAAAGTTATAGATTGAAGCAAACCCCAGTTCAATTGGCAGGAGTGCAGGCAGCAGCATGAAACATGAGAAGACTTGTAGATGTCAGGCTAGAAGCATCTTCAGCTATTGTGAGGAAAGGCAGTGGTATCCTCCTTTGCAATCTGATCTCATCAGATAGTCAGGAAAACAGTAACTGTTATGTTTAGGCACACCATCTTGGTAATTTTTCTGAAATTGACAAATTTTCTATCTCCAGTTTCAGAACAGGTAGTTCAGTTTCAGCCCATCCAAGTCAAAAAGATTGGGAGGAAAAAAGTTGGAAACCTTAGTTTGGAATATCAGAACTGGATATTAGAAAAATTTAGGATCCATTCAGTTTGCTGGTAGGAATGCAAACACTGAAAAATAATTAAGAGGATCAGAAAGTGATGTTCAAAACCAGATATGTTGTTGAATCAGTTTTTTTTTTCCTTCAACTCTCCAATTCTACCAAATACAGTAAAATTTTGTTTTACTGTTAGTCTAGTTCTAATAAACTTGGCCAGTTCTTTTGCATAAGCACAGTATGAACAAAATGTAATCATGCACTTTCTTAAAATCTATCTTGTTGGAACTTCTCATAAGAAATCTTTTTTTTAAATATTTATTTATACATACAAGAACTGGGGTACAGGCCAGAGGTGCCAGGGGTGAGAGAATTCACCAGAGTGGGGAACAGAGCAGGCAGACTGGCTGAAATACACTGCTGCAGGGAGCAGTGGGGAGTCAGTAGAGGCCTGCTGAGCCAAGTGGGGAGCTCCCTGGTCACTGGGGGATCAAACTTGTGTTGCAGAGGCTGTGGATAGCTTCATAGTGCTGTATTTAGCCCCTTGCACCACCAGGGAGGCCCTCTCATAAGGAATCTTTAGTTAAACTCTTAATGACCTCTCAGAGTTCAGGACCATGCCAAGGTCTCACCATCACTGCTTGCTTGTCTGTGTCTTTCAGTAAGTTCCTTTCTTCTTGAGTCCCCCACCCCCACAAAATGTGCTGAGATTTCTGAGTCTACCAAGTGGTGATCCCTGAAAGCAAGATATCAGCCTGTCTTTTCTTTAAAGACTGAAGTCAGCCTAGACTCACTCCTGAAAGCAGATTGGTATATTCTAGCCAAACCCCCAGGAATACAAACATGTTTTCCAATAGCTTATTAGGGTAAAAAAAAGCATTTTATTGGGTTTATGCAAATATATTACCATTACAAATGTAAACTTAAGGAAAGTTTACATTTTTGGGGTATCAGGGGAAAAAGCACACCTTTCAGTTCTGCTCACAAAAAGACTGAATTTGCCATCGCTGCAGATCATGACTCAGCTCAACAAAAATAAATTTTCTGGAGAAAGCAAAACAAAAAACTACTATTTCAAATAGTCATGAGAAATATTAGTTCATAGTGTATTCATTCCCATGTAGGAGATCTTGATACTAAGTTTTTTAAGTCCAGTTTTCTCCTGTAAATTCTTTAATTCTTTCCTTAGTTTCATGATAAACTGTATTTCCAAAGTATCTATCAGAGTCCTTTTCCTGTGAATTTCTCCGAATACAAGCAGAATAAGTAACTTCTGTGAATGGCAAAAGACTTTAAAATAACCATATAAAATTTGATGATACTGCGGTTGACAAGGAAGTTTGCCTAATTTTGTGACACACAGTATTTCAGAATAACCGGAACTAACCAGTAACATTTCATCAGAACAGACTTTAAGAAATTTCACTTAATTTTAGAATAATCTTATTTATTTAAATACATGCCAAAATACCCAGGTTGGACCAATTTGTTTAATATTTCTCTTTCACAAGGACAGTTTTATGGGTGTCTTAGGAGTCCTTCTATGATCTTCCATATATTTTTTTCTTTCAATTAATTACTATTTGAGAGTTTTGATATCAGGAAGGTTCTGTCACGGACTTAACATACTTGCAGAGACTTTGTAAAGTAAGGGTAAGTGACTTACCCTTATATTGACAAAGATTTAAGAGCAAAATATATCTCAGACAAGACTCAGTAAT